TTTTTTTTTTTTTTTTGGTAGAGATGGGATTTCACCATGTTGGCCAGACTGGTCTCGAACTCCTGACCTTGTGATCTGCCTGCCACGGCCTCCTAAAGTGCTGGGATTACAGGCATGAGCCACCACACCCCACACCTGGACCAGAGGGAGTTTCACTCTTCTTGCCCCAGCTGGAGTGCAATGGTGTGATCTCGACTCACCACAACATCCACCTCTCAGGTTCAAGCGATTCTCCTGCCTCAGCTTCCTGAGTAGCTAGGACTACAGGCGTGCACTACCACATCCAGCTAATTTTGTATTTTTAGTAGAGACAGGGTTTCTTTATGTTGGCCAGGCTGGTCTCGAACCCCTGATCTCAGGTGATCCATCCACCTCGGCCTCCCAAAGTGCTGGGATTACAGGCATGAGCCACTGTGCCCGGCCCCTCCCTCTCTTTTCTTCCCTGAGGGCAGTACCCCAGGATCTACGCGGAGCCAGCCTCTCTCTGACGTAGGCAGGCCACGGTGTTCCCTACCCCTGGGTGACCTGGCCTGCCCTGCCCTGTGTGACCTGGCTGCCACACACTTGCTTTTCCTATTTCTGGGTTGCAAGTTCAGGATCTGACAGAAAAGGAGAAGAAAGGTTCGTGTCAGTCTTAGGAAATGGGGACCCTTATGCCGGGTGCCATGTCCTGAGTTTGGCCTGAGAAAGATCGAGGCCCTCCTGGGTTTACAGGAGTTTTGTACACTCAGATTGAATTCCTCCTCTGCTCTCCTTCTGCCTCACTCCCTCTTGTGCACCGCACTGTAGCCATGGGCTCACTTGCCTGCACAGTGAACATCTGTGCTTGCTCCGACCTCAGGACCTTTGCACACACCAGTCTTCCTCCCTGGAAAGTGTTTCCCCTGCAGGGTCAGCTTCTCATCATTCAGGCTCCCGCACAGTCTCCTTCCCTGCCCATCCCTGCCCCAGGCACACTGCAGAGCCCCCTACAGTGCTGGGTGAACAAGCACTCCAGGACCCCTCCCTGCCCCTCTCTGCCCCCTCCGTGCCCTGCCCGCTTTCTTCTGGTCAGGCCCGCACACGGTTGCCCTGGTCCAAGACTTGTCTTGCCAGTGGGAAGGAAGAGGAGGACCGAGCAGCGGGTCCCCACACGGGTGCTGCTAGTCTGGGCCTGACCGGAGGACACAGCATTTCAGCAAGAAGGCCTGGAGCAGGAAGGCCTGGAGAACCTGCTTCTGTTCCTGCACCTCACACTTGGGGCCTGTCCCTGGCGAAGGCCATGCCCTGGACACTGAGTTCCTGTTTATTTGCACTTTCCATGTGGCAATCGATGGCTTTAGTTGCTCATTCAGTCTCTAATTTATGGGACTCAACCTCCCCCCCTTTCATAAAGGAAGCCAACCATTAGTGGGAGTCATAGAAAATGTGAAGCAACTCTCGGCAGAAGTGGGTGAGTTTTTTGTGGTTTATTTATTTACGGTGGGGTTAGACAGAGCCCTACCCCCACACCCGCCACACACATGCACACGCTTGATTACTTTCAACAAAAAAAGAGGCAGGACAGCATGTCTAAAACGAAGAGCTTCACCAGGGGCTGGCCAGCGGGTGGCTCCAGTGAGTGGAAGCGGATCTTGTGATGACTGTCCCTGAAAAGGAGGGGTGGAACTTACATTTAGGGGCAGGAAACAGCCCAGCATTCATGTCAAATGCCTGCTCTTGGGCTGTAGCTTCTACTCGGGAGGGGCCCAGGAACCTGCATTCAGAAGGAGGGTGAGGCCGGGCACCGTGGCTCACGCCTGTAATCCCAGCACTTTGGGAGGCCGAGGCAGGCAGATCACCTGAGGTAGAGAGTTCAAGACCAGCCTCACCAACATGGAGAGGTGAATACTAAATTAGCCAGGCGTGGTGGCGCATGCCTGTAATTTCAGCTATTCAGGAGGCTGAGGCAGGAGAATCGCTTGAACCTGGGAGGCGGAGGTTGCGGTGAGCCGAGATCTCGCCATTTGCACTCCAGCCTGGGCAAGAGAGTGAAATTCCGTCTCAAAAAAAAAAGGAGGGTGACCTCAGGCCTGACTCAGAGAAGCCCTGCCCTGGAGGTAAAGGGCACAAAGTCGAGTCAGAACCTGGTTCAAGTCCCAGCTCCTCCACTCGCTGCTCTGTAAAGCACTCAGCACCTCTGAGCCCCACTTTTCCTGCCTGCTGTCCAAGGACTAGAGAGGAAGACAGGGGGGAGAATGTGGCAAGAGGGGGGTCCTGACAAGCCAGGGTAAGAGCCGTGGTGAGGGCATCGGAGGCCAGCAGCCCTCTGTGACTCCCGGCCCGTGCTGGGGCCTCTGTCTCAGCTGCTTTTGAGCATAAGCCTGGAGCTGCTCTTCTTCTGGACTCTGGGGTTGGCATCTCCTTGACCTGGTCATGAATGGATTTGAGAGTGTGGGATGATTGAAGTGACCCCCAGTGGGTCAAGGCCTTGTCAGGGCAGAGCGCCCCAGCTTCCACGACACTCTCAGAAGGGCCCGTGTCCCCAAAGCTAACTCCTAGCTAACCACACCCCTGTTGTCTCCCCAGGGCCCACCGGAACGACATGGAGACCATCTACCCCTTCCTTTTCCTGGGCTTCGTCTACACCTTTCTGGGTCCTAACCCTTTTGTTGCCTGGATGCACTTCCTGGTCTTCCTCCTGGGCCGCGTGGTGCACACCGTGGCTTACCTGGGAAAGCTTCGGGCACCCATCCGCTCTGTGACCTACACCCTCGCCCAGCTCCCCTGTGCCTCCATGGCTCTGCAGATACTCTGGGAAGCGGCCCGCCACCTGTGACCAGCAGCAGACGCCTCCTTGGCCGCCAGACCATAGGCCAAGAGCCGCCGTGGCTGTACCTGGGGACTTGATATTCCTTGCAGATTGTGGTGGGCTCTGAGTCCTGGTTTCCTGGCAGCCTGCTGCATGTGGGGGGGTCTCTGGGCCCAGTGGGCCTGTGTGTGAGTGCGTGCATGCGTGCGTGCGTGCGTGTGTGTGTGTGTATGTGTGTTTCTTAGCCCCTTGGATTTCTGCCTGAAGTGGCTGATGGAAACCATTCCAGGAGAGATTGTGAAGACTGATAGAAAATCCTTCCGCTAAAATAACAGAGCATCAAAAACATCACTCCCTCACCCTCCCTAAGAGTGAAAATCGAGAAGGGAGACTCTATTTAAGATTCCCAAATCAAGTGATCATCTGAATCCCAGGCTAAGAATGCAGACTTTACAGACTCACCTCAGAGATTCTGGCCCAGCCAATCTGGATTTTTTTTTTTTTTTTTCCCAAGACTGAGTCTTGCTCTGTTGTCCAGGCTGGAGTGAAATGGTATAATCTCAGTTCACTGCAGCCTCCACCTCCTGGGTTCAAGTGATCCTCCCACCTGAGCCTCCTGAGTAGCTGGGATTACAGGTGGGTGCCACCATGCCTGGTTAATTTCTGCATTTTTAGTAGAGACGGGGTTTCGCCATGTTGGCCAGGCTGGTTTCAAACTCCTGACCTCAAGTGATCCACCCACCTCGGTCTCCCAAAGTGCTGGGATTACAGGTGTAAGCCAACACGCCGGGCCGCCATCTGGAGTTTTAAGAGGCTCCCATGTGAGTCCCTGTGATGGCCGGGCCAGGAAGCCCCTGACAGTTCTCTGTGGAAGCAAGGCTGGGGTCTTGGGGTCCTGCATGATGGAAGCTGAGTGAGCCAATTCATGACCAGGTCAAGGAGATGCCAACCCCAGAGTCCAGAAGAAGAGCAGCTCCAGAAGGGCAGGGCTGGCTCCTCTGCCTTCTCTGACACTTCCGTGGCCTTGGCTTTGGGTGTCTTTGCTGGCTGGAGTCTTCTCTCTGGCTCAGAGGTGGGTGGGAGGGGCCACAGGAAGCTTAGCATTCTCCCGAGGCTTGAGTCCCTCCAAAGGGCTGTGGGTGGAGGACAGGGAGCCAAAGGAATTTTCTGGTCCCTTCAGTATCTTCAAGGTTTGGAAACTGCAGATGTGTGTGTGTGTGTGTGTGTCTGTGTGTGTGTGGTGTGTGTGTACATGTGTTGTGTGTTTGTGTGTGTGTGTGTGTGGTTTCTCCTAGACCCGTGAACTGAGATGTGTGGTTTTTGTTCATTAAATGGAAGTGTCTGTCCAGCTCCGCCCAGCACCTCATCTTGGGTTGCTCGTTCCTGGTGTCCCCTGCTGCCCGAGCTGGCCTGACCCTCCAGCGCGCTGGGCGTTCTTGCCGGTGACTGCCTAGGGCCAGTCTGGCGCAGACACAAACACCACTGACTGGGCGTCAATCACACGGCACACAGCAGTCTCCTGCCTCCCGGGGGGCGGGTAAGGTGGCCTCTGGCGAGGGGAGCGGGGAGCACCCGCATCCTGCCCTGGCCAGGTCGCCCCTCCCTGCAGGGCTGCTCAGCCCGCGGGCGGCCACCATCAGCTCCTTCCGAGGCCCCGGGGCCAGCGCCCCGAGGGCAGGGCCAGGCTCCCAAAGCCCCTGTGTGGAGCCCCTGGGCTGCACGGCCTCACTTTCCCTCCCTGCACCCCGAGGCGGGCGCCCTTTGACTGAGGGGACCTCCCGTGCCGCGGGTTCTCAGGCAGCGCGGGGACCCCAGGCCCCGCCCGAGCGCGCCGCGAGGCCCCGGCCCCCGCTCGGGGCTGGGAGGGGAAACACTGCCCCCTGGTGGCAAGGGGGCGCCTCTGTTTCGGGCCGCAGCGGCCCGCGGGAGAGAAACCGGAAGGGCGCCGTCCAGTATTGAGCGCCTACTGTTTACTAAGCGTCGGGCTAGGCATGCTGGTTGGATTATTTTCACCTAGTCCTTAAAACAGGCTGGGTGGGTTGGCTTACGTCTGTAATTCAAGGCGCTCTGGGAGGCCGAGGTGGGACGATCTGAGCCCAGGGCAGGTTTGGGACTAGCAGATCCCCTTTTTACCAAAAAAAAAAAAAAAAAAAAAAAAAAAATTAGCCTGGTGTAATGGTGTCCACCTGTGGTCCCGGTTACTCCGGAGGCGGAGGCGGGAGGATCACTAGAGCCTGGGAGGTTGAGGCTGAAACGAGCTGAGATCACACCACTGTACTCCGGCTTGGGCAGCAGAGGGAGACCATCTCAAAACAAAACAAAAATTCCCTAAAAATTCACTGAGCTCCTGACAGCAGCCCGGATCCTGGGTATCCTGAACCAGTCTGAGGGAGGAGGCATTTCTGCTTTTTAGATGAGGGAGGCGAGGCTCACAGGAAGGAGGCTGGTGGGGGTGGCCTCCTCACAGAAGAGCAGTGACTTGCCCACTGTCCCTGGGCTGGGACACTGTAAGGCCAGAGAGAGGACAGACCCCAGGGCACGGGCCATCTAGGGGGTGAACCCAAGGTGCGTTTTTATATTTTTATTTTCCTTCCTGGGGAAAGAGGGGTTCTATGGGCTAAATACCCTGTGGGAACCCACGGGACCTGGGTCAGCAGGGGCATTGGGTGCCCATGGCAATGGGGTGTGAACTTGGAGCTTGGGTGATGGAGGCGGCCCTTGACGCGCTGGAGCCCAGAGACCATGGGACCACGAGGTCCTCTCCTTGGCACCGCCCCTGTTCTGCCAGCTTGTGAGTACCTCCTTAGGGTGGGGTGGTGCCCGACGCTGGGGTGGTAACCTCGTCCTGCCCTCTGGCCCCCCACAGCTCCGGCCTGGGGTGGGCAGCTCAGCAGGACAGCTTCCGCGACAACCCCAAGCGCTCAGTGCCCCATGGAGGCAGATGGGGGCTGTCTAACCCCTGCTGCGCAGAGGCTGCCTGGGGAAGCGGCTCCTCACCTGCTGTGGGGGGTGAAAGACCGGCTTTGAGGGGAACATCCAAGCCAAGAAAGCGAGGAGCAAGGGGGAGAGCTCAGCACCATTCCCCAGACCCCTCCGTCCTGAGGC